TGGGGGGTGATGGGGGAAGGGGGCGCCCGCTCGACCGACCCGCCGCCGCGCCGACGGCTACTCTCTTCTGTTTTCGTGGAAGGAAAAATCAGTTTAGATGAAGGTTGATGCTGTGACATGGATCTGAGAATAAAAGACTCCTCTCCTTCACAAAAAACAATTTCCTGTTCGCTATACAGACACTCTCGTGAATACTGCTCATGTATTCAGAAAGAAAGAAAGAAAGAATTGCGTTGTCGAGAACCAACTTTTAGTAATAGTAGTTGCAAATGAGAGGGTAAAATGAAGGATATTATTGGGATCAATGTAAATAGGATTGAGATATATGAACAAACATTTTAATAAGTGATAAAGTAGGTAAACTGGTATTTCAGGATAAATGTTACAATCTTCTCGGGCATGTAGAGGAGTCAAAGTTGATCACTTTTTGTCAGTGAATTTGTGATAGAAATTTCATATAACGAAGTTTCAAGTGTGATATATTGTCAGGTTGAGTACACTGAGTGATAGTGATAGAGTAAGTGATAAAGCAGATTAACAGGTGTTTCAGAATAAATGTCACAACCTTCTCGGGAATGTAGAGGGGTCAAAGTTGATCACGTTTTGTCAATGAATTTTGTGGTAGAAATTTCAGATAACGAAGTTTCAAGTGTGATATTTTGTCAGGTTGAGTACGTGTAAATGAGTATGAAATGGTGTTTGGCGGTTCATAAGATCACGGCATTTATCAAAGGGTTTGGCATGTTCTTAAAATTTGTCTGGACAGATACGCACAAACGGACACAAATTTTAATAACAAAAGAAACTGTTTTATAACCATGTTCAGTTTAAACCATTAATAATACCATTCATAACCATATTCAGTTTAAAAATGTATTTATTTTGAAATCACAGACAGACACTCGATATTCATTTATATAGATTAAATATTTAAAAGTTATCAAATGTTACAAATGGGATTGCATATGCATATTTGCAACCCCAGCCAGATTTTCAGTATAAATGCCAAAAAATGCAACAAGTGCTGCGAAAGTTATCACGTGATGATATGTGAAAAAAGGAAACATGTTGCTGACTGAGTTTTACACAGAGTGTAATAGATAACCGCTCCGCGTAAACACGCTGTTTGAAGTTGCCCTCTACTTGAGCATATGAAAACCAACAGAATACGCTTGTGACAAAAAGATAACAAATATCAGTGATATGTGAATAAACGTGCAGAAATATTACCAGGAACAAAATCGAGAGTATAAATAGTAAAGTGTAGTAGTGAGTAGTGATACACATACGTAGTGATACAGAAACACATTCTAATGTCAATTCAACAATCCTTAAATAATTATTTTAAATTCATATTTATTTCGAGTTTTTTAACTAAATGACCAAGTCGAGCGATTAGAATCGGACGGAATGGTTCTAACATTCGAATGAATATTGACATGTCCTAGGTAAAGAATGTTTGCAATCGATCAAACAAAGTAATGGGAACGACAACTGTTTTCTAGAATGATTATCCATCCAGTGACTACGGCTGACTCAGCTGTGGAAAATCCGGCACCACTTAGACTGAATCTTCGTCCTCTTACAACAAAGGTCATTGAAGGCAAGAGATAGTATCTCACTAAAAGATCCTCTAATTATTTTTATGGTG